GGCCTGCTGTGTTCATCCAGCCCTGCACCTTGTTGTCTCGGATTCTCCAGCATCTGCAGTTCCTACTATCCCTGTCCACTCCATTTCTGTCTTCTTACTCTGGGACCTGGCACCATCCTTTTTTATAGCAATAGTTCCATAATGAAACCTTCACACTGCAAGGGCAGCTCTTGCATTATCACTAACCACTATCACTCACAGAAATTACTAAGCACACAACACTAAAACCACTTCCTCCATTCAGCAGCTTGGTACACCCGACATACAAACACATGAACAAGGAGGATTGGCCATTCAGCCCCTCAGACTGCACCATTTAAGGTCATGGTCAATGGCATAATAATCACAATCCACATCTCTATCTATACAATAACTTTTCGACCATTTGCTTATTAAGAATCTATCCATCTCTGCCTTAAAAAGGCTCTATTCCTGAAAAAGTTGCAAAATTTGACTTTATGTGCTTTAAATGGGCATTTGCTCATTTTCAAACAGTGATCCCTGAATCTGGATTCTGGTGGAAGAGGAAACCTCTTCTCCGCATGTATCCAATTCAAGAGCTCTCATGATCTTCTACATCTCTATCAAGTCATTTCTTAGTCTTCTAAACTCTAGCACAATCTGTCCAACCTTTTCTCATCCCACCCATTCCAGGTCTTTTTGTTTCTGAATTGCTTATAACATATTTATATCATCTAGCAAATAAGGTGGTCAACTGTACTCCAGATCTGGTTTTACCAGTGTTGTGTATAACTGAAGCATAACCTCCCAACTTTTGTACTCCAATTCCCTCACAATAACGTTCCATTCACTTTCCTTATTACTTGCCGTACCTGCAGTATTTTGTGATTCATGCACTGAGACATTCAGATCCCTCTGCTTCTTATTTGCAATCTCTTACAAATTACATAATGGGCATTTTTATTAGCAGTCACTTGGCACACTCAATCACTAGCCTTACTTTCTTGCAGATTAGCACACAATGCTGACAAAAAGCAGTTGGAGCTTCCTCGATTTTAAACCTCTTATCCTACCAGATGACAGACCACACAGCTCAAGTGATTTGCTTAGGTGTCACATTTTAAATGAGGCCCAATGTTATTATTTTGGTCTCCCTAAATTATCACACAGGCATTATTATCCTTTTCTTTCTGTTTCTTAGTTGGTCAGGAGGGGTAAATATTCCATATATTCATATCTGCTATCATTTTTTCGTGTGGGTTCATCACACAAGACAGAAGAATGACAATGAAAGAGCTGAGCTGGGGAATCTTTTGCCCTTCGTCATCTACTGTGATGACAAAGTAAGAGGTGAGGGTTAACAGTGGGTCACCCATCAGTCACAGCTGATTTGACTTCCTCTGCACCAGCCCCTTCCAACTTACTACATTAATGGTGTTTCCTCTCTCAGGCCCCAGTTCAGAGACATCCCCAGAAGTAGAGAGGGGAATTTTGTAGTGGCCATGAACATGTAGCATCAAGTGATTCACACAGCACAAGGAGATCCTAACAGTAGAGGACTAAGTAAGGATGATGTTCCCCACTTCTCTGTGGAATCTGGGAAGTTAGATACCAATGTTTTCACAGTAATCTGGCTCATGCTTACTGGCCTAAAAGAGAGGATGTTTAAGGAACTTGATACTACATGCAACTCTGAAGCTCTGTGATAACAGGAAGATAGGA